TTACGAATCGAAATTGAAAAACTTGATCGAATTTTCTGAAAAATAAATAAATTTTGACTAAAGTGCAGATAAGTACATTCAGTGGTCGAAAATATTATAGCCGCACCACATTTTGGCAAGTTTTAATCAATTATTATTTTTTTTTGTAAATCATTTTTTTTTATGAAAATATAGTTAATTCTCAACAAACTTTCGTAAAAAATTATAGCTTTTTAATTAGACTTCCCAGAAGGATCCTGCGTATGCCAATGGAATTCTAGTGAATAAAGTACAAGTTTCAAACCGCTAAAAATTACCGTGGATTTTTTAGATTTTTTTTTATTGACAAAAAGATGTTACGGTTTTCTTCCATATAAAATTAATTTGTGCGTATTCGTTATATGGAAGCAAGTGGGAGAAAAAAATGCTAAAAAATCAACCGTAATTTTTAACCATTTGAAAATTGTGCTTTATTCTACAAGAATTCAGAATTTTTCTAGGAAATCTAGATAAAAAAGCTCGAAATTTCTACGAATTTTTTTTAGTATTGCACAGTGTTTGAAACTGGATTGAGACGGTTTTTTATTAAAGAATGAACTATATTTAAAAAAAAAAACCAAAATTAAACAACAAAAAATATATATATGTATTTTAAAACTTGTCAAAATGAGGAGCGGCTGTAATTTTTTCGATCACTGTTTATACATAAGTATTTTACCCTGTTTTTGTTTTTGGTTAAAAATGAATGAACGGACAGAAAAAATTTTAAACAAAATAAATCAGTTTAAAGTCACTCGAATATGCTATGCTAGTATTAGCATATACTATTTACATAGGAACACACATACTTTTGCGTATTTGGTAAGAAGAAAATGAAAGTTGAACTGCTTTCGAAGCTTTCGCCTTTTTTTTTTTTGAAGTGCTGACTGCTTTTTGCTCCTTTACCCTACATTCTGTTATGCGCCACTGTGTTATTTCATCGCTATACTAGTATCTTACCACCCACTGCCCCACACACACAAAGTGCATTTTAAAATTTTAAAATTTTTTTATATGTAATACTCTTTCACTACAGTAACATTAAGATTTTATCATCAGGAAATACTTAAGCAAAAATATCGTTATTACGCACCTGTACATTAACAATGTGGTCTACATAGTTTTGTGCACCATTCACTTTTTTCGATGTCTGGCGTTTTCGTGGCGGAATAAAAACTGGGCGTTCCTCGCCACTGACTGCACTTTTGCTAACCATTGTGTTTTAACGAAAAGCGGCGCGATTAAAAACAAAATAATAATTGCACTAAGCGATCAAATGTTTATTGCAAAAAAAAACAAGTAATTTTTAATGTTCGAGAGGAAATTTATGTGCAATTAATTTTTTCACATGATGTTTGCACTTGCATGAGGTTTCGTGTGTTTGTGCGAGTACATATGTAGTTTACTAATGTCTTTCCCATGATTTCCAATTATTAGTTTTTCACACGTAATTAACTTTCGCTATTTCTTTGTTTATTTTATTTTCAATTCATTTATTGCATAAATAATTTCTTAACTAATTCAAATGATTTAGCACAGCTACATTCTAATTTCTTAACTTTCGCCATCACACTTCCTCAGCTGCATTTCAACTGCCGCACGAACCGTAAAGCAACTCGTATGTACTACTAGTATTGCATATGGAAAAGGACATTTGGGGCCGTTGCCATCGCCATCGCTTCTTCCGCTGCGCCTGCTGCTGCTGCTGCTGTTGCTTTTGTCAATGTCCGTTTATTGATTTTTCCCGATTTGCGTCCTTGTTCCGTTTCTTGTTGTTATTCAAGCTGCATTCACAGTGGCCGAGGTAAACAAAAACATGAAACAGACCGCAGGCGCATGAGTGCTCCAACGACAACAAAGGCGGCAATTTTTGCGAGAGGTTTATGGGTGCGTGTGTGTGAGAATGTGTAAAGAATGGCAGAGAAGAACAAAATAATAAAGTAAATAATGCAATTTTTTATGTTTTCTTGTTTACTTGTTTACTTGTTTACTTTGTGCAAGGAGGCAAAGAAAAGGAAAAGAAAAAATAATAAGTTGCGAAAGTCAAAGTAAAAATATGTTTCGAGCGGAAAAGGAAACGAGAATGAAGAGGATATACATACATAATTTGTATGATAAATAATAGAAATAAAACCAGATTGATTATGTATGTATATATTAGACCACACATCATTAAATGCAAACAAAAACTTTTGCAGGGCAATGTCGAAACTTGTCCTCTATTCTAAGAAAGTCACAAAACTCGGCGCATCACTATTGCGATTTCCACTGTGCCTGGAAATATGCCACAAAAATTAAGTGCATTAAAATTTTAAATTTTATTTTGTTTAGCGGCATATTTTGAGGCGCAGTAGAAATCACAAAAGTGATGCACTGAATTTTGGGACTTTACCGCCCTATTCCCACACCACTGACAAAACTCAGCGGTTGACTATTGCTTTTACTACTGCGCCTAATACTATGCCGCAAATTTATTTTAAACTGTCGTATGACAATTGTCAGTTTTATTTTTATGACCTACTGAGTAAGTGACAACGGCGAAACAATGTTTATATTGTGTTTTTTGGGCGCAGTAATTGTGACAATAGTCGTATGATGAATTTTGTCAGTGGTGTGGGAATAGGGCGGTAACCGCCCTAGTTAGAATAGGGGGATTGGTGTCGCTTAACCGTTTGTCTGTCCCATGCTTGAACTCACATTCGTTGTCTTTTGGGGTCAGGATGACCGCAATGAAATGCAGGTACAAAATATAAGAAAGGAATATAAATTGTGACCGTTTAAAATACAAAATAAAAAGGGAAACCCCCAAATTGTGTTTAATTTAATTTAGTGGTGACACCTACATACATTTGGCAATATTATTTTTTTTATACTTTTATAACACGTGTTACAAAAAAAATCACAAACTTTTTGAGCGACCTAGTATAAGTCGTAGAACTGGCCGAGTAATTCACGAAACTGCTTTCAAAATTTTTCTAACACCCTCAAATTCTATACTTATTCTTAAAAAACTATTTCCGCATGATTTTCTACACTAAACTGTCAAGTTTTATTTTCAAAGAAATAATAATTTTTGTAAATATCTGCAAAATTTTTGGAACAAATCTGAAATGTCCACACATTTTGTCCACTTCTATAAAATTGTTGCCAAAATTTGAAAATAAAATTGTCTATTTTCGAAAAGAATATTTAATTCCGAGTAAAACTGGGTACCATTCATTCAAATCAATGCAAAAATTATGAACTTATGACATTTTTTATAAAGAGCCAAATTAAAATTTTTCTTGATTGCAACTAGACGAACTATTAAAACTTGACAAGTAATTTTTAGGAAAAAAAACGACTTAAAAAAAATATATATATATCTATATATCTCATGATTTAATGATCGGATCTAAACCACCACTGAGACACTACCTTTCCGGTGCTAAAAGGGTTATCGAAATCGGTTGACTGGTCCAAAGCTATGCGGTAACATACATAAAAAAGAAAATATTCCGACGAACTGATAACCTCCGCCGTTTTTGGATGTCGGTTAAAAATTAATCCAATTCAACTGATTAAAATTTTCTGTGAATTATAATTGTGTGCGATAATTACACAGCCCAACAAAATTCTGTTGAGTAAAATATTAGATTATTTCCCGTACACAATACGGCATCCCGCGGGTGCCCAAGACAGCCCAGAAATCATTCCCGTACTCAAAAAATGGGTAATAGAGAGCGAAAATTGGAACGTACCCAAAACAGCCCGGTCTTTTTCTCCGGTTAAAAGTGGATAAAGTGTCAAAGTGCATATCAGCTGTTTTGTGTTTACATGTATTTTCAATCTTTATAAACGTTTTTATTAATACAATCAAATTTGTAAAATATTGTGAATATTTAAAACGGAAATGGTGTATGCACACTTTGATGTTAAGTGTATCTGTCTGTGTGGAAGGATATGAAAGTCTAAACACTGCCCTTTAATAGCCATGATCACTGTGTAATCGATGCGTATAGTTTTTCTGAAATTTTTTTATAAAAATATGGTTCATGCTTTAACAAGAACTATATAAATCACACTTTCCAACATTATAAATGCTTATATAAATGCTTATATAAATTTCGAGCTTTTGACAGCTGTTTGGACTGAGCTCTTTCTAATGGGTGGCTCTGCCTTCCTTTCTCCACAAAATGATGACCCAAATTATTAAAAAGTGTTCAGTGCCTCCTCACACTTGCAAAGACGTTTGCTGAGATTAATTAATAGTACGGGGTGAAAAGTTTTTTAACCATAAACCACCCTTGTTGTTGTTGTTTTAGCAGCATAAATATTCCCGAAAGTGTTTTTGGTAAATGATACAGGTGTGTCAGTCCATGGCCCGACTGTCGTGGGACACTTCCTCGCTTGCAATATATTGCCCACCCAAGATAAAAAATATTGCAAGCGCTGACATTCAGTTATAGACATAATCAGTTGATGGCAGCTCTGTTAAAAGACAGAGAAAAGGAGAAAACAAAAAAGCAATCGATAAACGATACGTTTGCATATTCGTAGTTAGGAATTTTCGATATTTGAGAAAGTTTCGGTATCATGAATCGATTTAATTCATTGCAGGCAAAATCGATACGGCGATATATCGGCTGAACAATATCGATATCGGAAAAATCGACGTTGAAATTCCTACTCCCAATTGAATAGAATATTAGACCTGCTTCTCAACTCAATTGTGTTATTTCCATCTTGTATATTTACTGAGGATTAAAACGGCATGCCGGTGGACTCAAGCGGTTTGTCAAACTTAAGAGCTAAATAAATGACACAAGCTGTTGATTAAACCTACTTTAGTATTTTTCCATACACTTCTTGTTGATGAAAAATAAATTTCAACTTAAATATCGATATTGCGGGTAAAGTATCGATGTCTTCGATATATCGAACTTGGGATATCTATTCAAAAAATCGACTATCGTGCGGTGAAATATCGATATTCAGAAAACTCGATACGATATCGAACATTCCTATTCGTAGTGTATTGTGAAAAACATTGAGTTATAAATAAATAAAATCGCCGGTATTCCATACCGGAATGTCGATGCACTTAAAAAGCATACAAATGACACTTGTAGGTCTAGCAGCTCGAAAACTTTCTATAAAGAAGCGGTAAGTTTCTTGTTGGCACGCTAATTGCTGCATGTGAAATTCATAACTTTTTTGTTTTTGCATTTCCTTTTTATTGCTTCAGCAATGCCAAGTTGGCCGCAGCTTTTCCAAATGGTGTGCGTTGCCAAAAGTGCTTGCAACTAGGACATTGGTCCTATGAATGTAAGGAGAAACGCAAATTTGTGCACCGGGCGTCGCGCACGAAACAGCTGAAGAAACATATAGCCGAGAAAATAAATGCTGAAGCTAATGGAAGTGCTGCAGTTAGCACTACCAGCGAAACGACTAAGTCATCCAAATCGAAACGCGCGAAACGTGCACGCACTTCCTCAGGATCTTCAGTAGTCGATGGATCGCAAGAATCAAATTCAGATTCTCAAACGTCATCAGATTCAAATGATAGTGGCTCTTCGGATTCTGATGAAGATTCATCGAGCGACAGTAGTTCTTCAGATTCAGAGAGCGATAGTGGTAGTAGTGATGCCGGTTCTGGCAGCAATTCTAGTAATTCGGATACCAGCGACTCAAGCGATTCAAGTGAATCATCCAGCTCAGACGATGAGGGCCAAATACCATCAAAAAAGAAAAAGCATCAACGTACCTCCAGCTCATCCAGCGATGACGATGGTATTTGATTTAAAAGCTTTATAAACAAGCAAAGTAGATACTGAGTTGAGGAACCGTAATAAGCTTTAGTAGTTTAAGTTGATCATGTTAATGTAATAGGTATGCATAAGCATGACTTAAAAATTTGTTTCGAAGGGTACCGAACTGAATTTGTAGGATTTGCAAAACACTGAATTGTTGAGAAATCAATTTTCATTATGTATGCATTTAAAATTAAAATCAAGTCATTAATGATTGCAGGAAATATCAGTCAGGCGGTGTTTGTAGTATACAACGGATATCAAATACTAACGGGCGCCTTAAAAATGGCAAATAGATGTATGTATCATAAATCCTTAAAGATGGACAGTACTTGTAAGTGACAAGAATGAAGTTTATTATTACATCTTATCGACGGGCGCCTTAAAAATGGCAAATAGATGTATGTATCATAAATCCTTAAAGATGGACAGTACTTGTAAGTGACAAGAATGAAGTTTATTATTACATCTTATCGACTTTACCTGGAGCAAAGCATAAATACATTTCCAAGACCTTATTTTACAGATCATGTTACAAACTCTTGAAAAAGTTATATCTGAAACGTTTTATTTATTTAATTCTAATATTAAATTATTTGAAACATACAAAAAATTTAACCTAAACACTAAAAATAAAAGCGTGCGAATTACGCATGTTATTTACTAGATAAGTATATATGAACCATCACACCTCTATTCAATCTATTAGTTAACGAGGCCGATACTTTGTATATATGTATGAGTTCTTGAACTCGCGAATTTTTAAAATACGTAATCAAAATTGTTTTCAAGAATTTAATTTAGTCGTTTAATATGTAATAAAACTCGATTTATAGATCCTACATACATACATACATTATGAATAGTAAAAATTTATTTTAGATTATACTGATAAAGTTCCATGATAAATGAATTGAAAGATGAGTTATATATGAGTCCATGAGAGCACTAGTGGCCTATCCAATTTTTTTTTTGTGTACTTCCCTACTTAAAATAGTCTCAAATGAGATACATTTTTTAATGAAATCACCATGCATACCATGAGAAATAGGCAGCAAGCGTCAATGGCAACAATTTGGCGACTCTCCGATTTATTGCCACGGTGAGAACATCATTTCATTTTTGGCGTGTTACTTTAAAAATTATCTTATACGAAACTATTTTAAGAAGTACTAGAAAAAAAGTTCTGCTGTCATGGCCTCATATTACTGAAATTGTTTTATTTTTCCAGTTACATATCTTCGTCTTCTTCCTCCTCAACATTATTTTTTCCCACATTCATATCTAAATCAATAATTTGTTGATTAATTACATCTTGTACATTATCCTCGTTGTAATCTGGACCTTCGCAGACTTCGCTGTAATCTAACCTTTGTGGTAGTTGTAATAGCGATAATCTAGATGATGAACTGGTGCTGGGCTCTTCCTGTGGACATACTGCAACGGAAGGAGGCGATGAGCGATAGCTTTCACTGAGAGCGGTTGCAGCGCCGGCTTTTAATTGCAATTCTTCTACCTGTGCAATGCAAAACATTTACGTATATACATATTTAAAAGTAGGCATGTACATCGTTCTACTAAAACTTTGCTTACTTTTAATTCATTTATGGCTTCATTTACTTTTCCCAAAATTTTTTCCAATTCAATCTGAATCTTACACAGCTGAAGTTGCTCCTTTTGGATTCGCGAATTCTTCAAGCCTTCTGCATTCATATGCTTTCCCATCACAACGTAGAGAACAATCCCCATTTGGTTTTGTTTATAGCATCCAGCGTTTAGTACAGGGATGGAAGATCCAATCTTCAAATTGTACTTAATTTGAAGAAATAATTGTACCGAAAAGCTGACGGATGTACCTAAAAAGTTAGCATGTCATTTTGTTACATATTTCATATCATGTCAAATCTGTTTAACAGTTCGAAAATACGACGGGAATCTTCCATGCCTTATTACCTCCTAGCAAAAACAAAGGGAGCACGACACTGTCGAACGTATTACTTGGAAGCTATAAAGGACTTTATTTACTTAGGAGCCAGTATACTGTCGGTCAGAGGTCGAACGAAGCAAAATTCTTGCCAGCAGGCGCTTAGTTACGCTTAGCAGGGCCTCCTAAACGGAGAGAAATCGACCATAACAAATTCCTGATCATTCTGGTCTGCTCATATGACATAGCCTGATTAAGAAGAGATGTGCTCATTGCATTCGAGAGAACAGATCTGCACAAGATTCGTGGCCCTTGGGGTTATGCTATCTCAGTCCAGATGGATTCGCCTGCACTAGGTTGGTATAACTACAGGGAGGATAATAATTTATTTGGCTATGATAAAATGTACCGAAATTGCTCCTACCTACGTTTCCATAACTGGTTAAGTGGTCCACTTTGACGTTTTTTCTATCGCAGCTTTCTATTTAGAGCACGGTTACCCACGTACGTGTACGTAGCGTAGAAGTACGAAGAAAGTTTTAAAGTTTGCGGTTGATATAAACGGAGAGAAGCAACGGTATGCAGTGGTGTGTTTTTGTTAACACGCAGATCCCATAAAATTGATTACGTTCCTGCGCGTTTACGGAAACATTTAGCATTGCCATACAGAATTTAAAATATAAAATTAGCGCCGATCAGTTTGTCCATATCTGGCTGATAAAATATTCGTTGAGATCGAATTCTTATTGTTATTTGGGCAGATGTAATGATTATAATAAAGACAATTTTTTACTTATTTGAATTGCATGTTTTGTCATTTCCATCGAAGAAATAACGAACGAAATTGCGGCCACAATTACAACGAATTTTACCTACCAAATCTGCAAACTTATTACCACACTTATTACACTTCTGGCAACTCTATAAATCAGCTGCTGTTTTTATTCAGAATAAAATTACAATTCTGTTGCATTTTATTTAGCAAATTTTTAGTAAACACGTTAACTTTAGACAATTGAATAGGAAAATAAATTGCGAAGTCGTCGGCAAATGCCCAAATCGTTAAGTTCCAATGGTACTAAAGAATGTAATGTTTGTGTCATTTGTTATGCAGATCTGTCCATAGGTGCTCGTTGCATTCATCAAACAAAGGCTGGCCCAATAGAATTTATTAAAAGCAATTAAGAGCACGCAAATCAAAGTCCACTACTTCTTTGATAATCTTGCTGGCGGTGGTCAGTTAACACTTGCAGTTTTGAAGCAACTATAAGCAGTAAGTTTTATTTCTCAAGGTCAAAGGTAACTTTCTAAACCATTATTCACGCTTCAGTCTTCATTCTTTTAGGTAGCAATACAAATACATAATGGGATACAAAGAACCTTTGCTGCAACAAATTAGCCCACAAGAGGAGGCAATGCAGTCACTTTGCAAGCAATTGTTGAAATCTAAAATTTTTCGCGGCTACTATGAAGAGCGTCGGTTCGTGGATGCAGTAAGTGATTATCGCGACATTATTGGGCTCCATCGAAGTGAGCGAGAGTTCGAGCGTTTATTGCTGGACATTAAATGCAAATTGCAACTTTTCTATCAGCATTCGCCACATGTGTGGATTGGAATAACACATGGCGATTGTATGGGCGTTATGCCAAAGAAGTACACGCTAGACACACACATTTGGCTGCAACTACAAGAAGCTGCCTTCGCACAGTATTGGTTTCTTGTTAAAAGTGTGCGATTTCGTAAAAACGAGGTACTATTAAAGTTAAAAATAGTACGCGCTGTTGAGGCCGAGCCGCTAACCGAAAAAGTAGCTTCGTCCCAACCTTCTACACCTGCCTCAAAGCCCGACAGTGGAAACTCAAAACCGGAAGTTTTAATTGAAGATGCAGAGAGAAAATCAAATAACCCATCACAACCTGATGAGGGGATGCCGAACACGTCTGATAAAGGGTCAAAGGAAGGAAATCAGATCGGTTATGAAGATTTTGTCGAGGTGGTACGTGACTGGGGCACAAGCATAAAACAATCTGTTTACGATTTTATTTCGAACGATATAAACAAAGACAACATAAAGGGTTTTTTACAATTTCTGGGCTTAGTTGTGGTCTCTCTATTGACCGGCAGTTTTGAAGCTATTAAATATTTGGGCACCTTCGCGTTGCGCTTCATGTTTGAATTTACGCGTTTTACACATGTAATGACACCAATCATACTAAAGTTGATCGAAATGGCAACTAAGATTGTTGGAGGCTTTTACGTGTTGTTGGCGATGATATGGAAAGATGTATTTATGAAACGAAACATGGCACAACAACGTCCACTACTCGATTACAGTGAACATATAAGAGCAATAGAATACAATCGGCCGCTGTATAAAAGTATGGAATACAATATACGGCAAAGCCCACCACAGCCATCAATGTTGCGGACGGACGATGGCCAATTCACGGAGTTCGAGCGAAAACTTCAATAAAGTGCACACCCATGGGAATGTGCGGGACTGCTAAGATTATTAATTTGATTGTTAGAACTAATATTTTTTACTAAATTAATTGCCTGATAGTAGGATGCTTTACGATTTTACACGACGATACGATCATTCCGTATATTGGATCGACCTATCTCGGCAGCTGGTTCGAAAAGTTTTCTGAGATATGGAGTTTCCAAACTGCCTGCTGAGATAGATCGATCTTCCACTCAGGTGTCGATATACAAAAATACACAAAATTTAGCTTAGTGAAAAAACGTATCAATCATTACCGATGTTGCACTGAAAAAATCGGACAAAATAATGAAATTTCAATTTCTTTTATCGAGCAGTATATAGATGGCTGTACGCAAGTACGTAATGAATAATCTGAAATTATTTTACAAGGATGGATCTATTGCCAATAAAAAAATAAATACTTTATCTTTTTCGATATGTAAGAGAAATATATACATAAGTCAAATATACATTATTATTAAGCAACTGTGCAAATTGTGACTTAAAGGTACTTCTCACAATCTTAAAATCAAAAAGGAATCAATTATGAAATTACATTTGCAATATTTACTATGCACACTTTATTTTAGGTGCATTGCTTTCCGATAGCACATTTCCCTGCACTTTGGTGGACAGTTTTATTTTAGTATAATTTAATATTTACTAAGCCAACAAAAATATGTATGCTCGTTACGAGCAAGAAAACAGTTCATTAAAAATTAAAAAAATTAATAAATGAAAAAATTTGGTTTCAATAAATTCAAAGCCATTTAAAATGCTCACAAAATGTTTTGTTTTTTCATATTCGATTGTAATTATGTTTACTAAAAATTAACACAGTAACCAAATTCGAAATAAATATTTTAAACCAACTCAAGTGTTTATTTTCCTATATATGAAAAGAGATTTGTTAAAAATAAATAGGCAATTGAATGTAAAATTGCCAGCCCCGAAGGTTTTGTTTGGTGGGTTAACAGAGTGGAAGTGAAAATTTACCAACAGGCGCAAATACCAGGCGACCATGGCGCAGAAGCAGCACACCTTCGCTACAAAAGTGCAGTTCCTTCCGGGTCCAACATGTGTTGCATACTTTTAGGCGTTGCTGAATTGGCAGGTGGTGGGTGCAGTTTCCGGAGACGCCAAGTTTAAGAATTTTGTTTAGACGCTCAATTTGTGTAAAAAATGTTGCTTATATTTTCTTGCAATAGGTTACGAGATTCGTAATATTTGATTAAAAATTTGGCATACATGTATATAACTAAATTGAAAATCGTTTTTGTTAAGTATAATATGTATTAATGTATTGTACGTACAAACCTTTTAACATTTGTGAACATCAAGCAAAACCACATTTTGTATTTTTTTAATTAGTTAGTTTTTTATTGAATTCAGTTTTTTTGTGTACTTAAAAAATGGTTTCCAAAGAGAACCATAAAATAAAATAAAATAAATTAAATGAAAGCAACGATGAAATGAAGTAAACTCAAGCAAAATAAAATAAGATATAAAAAATAAAATAAAATAAAATAAAATAAAATAAAAAAGTGTAAAAATAAACTAAATTTAAATGAAACAAAAAGGTTAAAAAAGGCAATAATAAAATGAAATTCGATTAAAATTTAAATAAAAAAGGGAAACAAATTAGATTAAAAAAGCAAACGATAACTATATAGAAAATAAAATTTTGGAGATACAATTAGACGAAAAATAGGGTAACATTATTTTATTACAAAAAAAAAAAAAAAACAAAAAAGCTGTGTACTCACTAAGCTGCATCAAAAAATTAAAAACTACAACGGGAATATCATAATAGGATCAGAAGTTCGTTAAATATATGGAATATTGAAAACTACCCATGACGATCGATTTTATTCATTTGATGCGATACAAAATCTTTGTTAGTTATGGCTTTTTTGCATTTTAGCGACGTTGTGAGATAGGGCCTTTCTATATTAAGATAATGTATTTGAACTCGTGCAATAGGCTGCCTCATCAAAAAAGTTGCGGTTTTTCCACCGGAATTATAAAAATTATTATATTTTAAGACTTCCGCCAAAATATTCCAGAAAAATTTAAGATTTAAGAGTGCTGGACTGATTTGATAATACCATCCACAAACCTAATATTTTTGATTCCATTTACGAAAATTTTATAAATTTGTATGCAGACCTTTTAAGCTTAAACTCTTCTGTCGGCTGAGGTGATTTTTTTTGGGAAAACAATTTTTTAAAACTAAGTTTATTTATATATATAAAAAAAAAAAATTTTGGATGTATTTTTCAAAATCAGATGAATCAGCTTCTCCGATGGGTATAAGTAAAGATATCAGCCCGGTTTTTTTTTTTTTTAAAGAAAAGAAGACGAATATTTTTTTTAATAAAAAAATGATATATAGTAAAACAATTAGCAATAATAAATAAAAAGAATAATAATAAAGACAAATTAAGCAAAATTAATTGAATTGTAAAAATAATGGAAAACACAACAAAATACGGGGAAACAAATTTAATTTAAACAATAAAAATAAATGCAAAAAATAAGGTAATTAAAATAATGAAAAATACACACTTAAGATGAAACTTTATTTTACAAAATTTATGATAAACACTCCAAAAATTTCTCCAAGTTGCGAACAGCTCTGCTTCTGTTGATTGCAATGGCATACAATTTTATGATTCTTGTTTGGGGCCACAACAAAATATTGCCAAAAGGGTAAAATTCATACGTGGTAAACGAATCCTAAGGGAATTTAGCTTCACCTAATGACTTTTGGTCCAAAGTTTCTACTTTTTGGTCACATATTTCACGAAATTTGATGTGAAATGAAAAAAAAAACTGGAGGCATTTAACAAATGCCATGTGCTAATAAATTTAATGACTTTTTTTTTAACATATTCAGGCAGGTTCGGCAATTCACTTCCGAGTAAATTTTAACCAAATTCGCATTGAATTCAAATTCACTCGGAAGTGAATTGCAGAACCTGCCTGAATGACATGAATTTTTTAATGCCCAATTTTGTTATTGCAATTTTTGGCATTTAATGCCAAGTGGAAATACGGCATTAGGGTTAGACTGCCACTTTTGGATACTAACGCTTGGGAATTTATTTGGTAGATACCCTATAATTGCTGTGCTATCAGCGAGACTTATAACCCATTTCCACCAAAAGCTTAACTACAGTTAACAGCTCAGATAAGTTCCACGAACTTTAACAGTCGGTTTATCGGCAAGGTTCATTTCTTACTATTTGCTTTTTTACTTTCGTTTGCCTGTACCTAGTATGGGCAATTACTAAATTTTCCAATAGGCATAAACTGTAGTTAAGGCTTGGTGGAAATGAACTATAAAACAGTCACGCTCTCAGAAGAACGTACGGAAATTCATTTACGACGTGAGTATAGAGATTTAGTTTCACAAACGACAATTTTTATGAATTTAAAATCTCAATTAGTTTTTTGTTTTCTCATTCCGCCTGCTAGGTTTTCACTCACATATCTACATATCGTGACCTGAACTGCAAAAAGACGTAACGACATCGTAAATGAAATGGAAAAAGGCGTGACCAATATATTAATTTATTTTTTTTCATAAAATGATGTGGAGAGTTGTAATTCGATGAAATCCATCATAAAAATAAATCAAAAAGTGAATTTTGAATTTTTTTATTAGTTTTCACTTTTGGCGTTTCAACGATGATGTTTGTTACGTCTTTTTGCATTTCAGGTGACGATATACGTAAATACTAGGTATGTTTGTGATAAGTAATAGATTAGGAAGAAGCAAAATTAATTAGCATAATTTTCAATATAATTCTTTTGTTTTTTTTTTGTTTTGTAATCATAATCATTAATGTCTTTATTTAATTCGCATAATACATAATAATCATAATAGTAATTATAATAATTGTAATCTGTTTATACATAAGTAATTATATATGTAATTATAATTATAATAATAATAATATTGTGGTTTACTTTTCACATCATTTACGCACTTGCATTGCTCTCCTATGTTTTCTTTTATATATGTTTTATGTAATTTTTATTTATTTGTTTTGTTTACTTTTAATTAGTTATTTATATGTATATATAATTTATTTACTTGTTTGTTTGTTTGTTTGTTTTTATTTTTTCTTCTTCAACTATTTGTCTTAAATTTCTTTACACATTAATTTCAAATGCATTAATTCTTTTGTTTTTTTTCTTTTAATTTAATTTTAAACAATATTTTTCTTTTATTTTGCATTATATCATTTTCATTTGTGTATGTATATGTAATTAATATTTTTATTTATTTTCTTTTTTAACTTATCTGTTTGTATATATATAAATATTTTTCATTTAACAAAAAAGTTAATTCCCTTTGAAGCTTTTTGCAGCAGTTGTTGTTTGTTTTTCGCATTTTCGCAACATACCGTTAAACTTCGTCCGCTCACCATTTCTTGCTCTTGCTTTTAGTATTTGTTTGTTTTTTTCTTCGTAAATTATTTTGTCGAATTTTTGTTTTGTTATACATACATACTTATGTATGTATGTAAATATGTACATACATATGTTGGTTTTGTGTTAGGTTTAGTTTTCAAGAAATGTTTACTTGTTTTTGTTTTTGTAATATATGTATATATTTATATACTATATAACTTGTTTAATAATATTTTAATTTAGTGTGTTCTTGCTTGTATTGGTGTATTATTTCTTTACTTTTTTTTTGTTTATTATTATTATTTTGTAGTACTAGTTATATGTAGTGCTGCTTGATGAAAATTTTTCGATTCGATTACTCTGTTTAATTTGCCATTACCGTTAACGTTACTTTTACCCGTTTCCTATTTCTTGTGTACATTGTGGCTTTAACTTCGTACCAACTTCTATTGCTGTTCGCTTCTGTAAACAATTTTTACTAAGTTAATTTTCATTTGGTTTTGTATCTTTAATATGTTAATTTTATCTTGCCACAATACATACGTCCTGTCCTACATACATTTTGTGTGTTGAACAATTGGAGGTGAGATTGGGACGCTCTGGCGAACTATGAATACAGACATATGTACATAGTTGCCTTTTTAATAAAATGCGAACGGGTCATTCGTTCTGGAGAAGTGTGTTTTTAGTTTGACTGGTTGAAGAGTTTATTAAAATATAAAATTTTTTTAAATACAAGTGAGGGAATGAAACAAAATAGGACGATTCCCTTAAACTTGGAAAACAAGAAAACTCACCACTCGAATATTTTTTCGTAAAAGTTTGGTAAAAGTTTTAAGCATTCCAAGATTCTACTTGCATTTTCCAGTTAAAAAGAAACGCCCTATAATATTTTCAATAAAATATTTTGAAAACCGAACAAATTTGCTGATAGAAATTTCAATGGTTTTTATAATTTTTGCAAAAATAAACTCAAAACATTAAAAAATGAGTTTTCAAACAATTTAAATATTTTAAATTTAATTGAGTTTTGCAGCACATTTTTTAATAAATATTTTACTTATTTTTTTAATAAAACATTTTAATTACATATATAAAAAACTACTGTTTAAAGCCAAAAACAAAAAATTATAAAAAATCGTTATTTAAAATAACTCAAAACTATTAAAACTTGTAAAAAAGTCATGTAATATATTAAAGTATTTTTCATACCTTCCATTAGCGAAAATTATTTTAATAAGATAAAAAATTTAGTTACAAAACAAAAACGGCATGTTGAAACTAAAAAAAAAAACAATTCTAAAAAGGGTGCTTTTAAAAATATTAAAAATATCCTGACGAAATTTATTAAAAAAAAGTTGGCACGATTTAAAAAAACATCAAAATTCACATGTTATGTCGAAAAAAAAAAAAAAAAATAGGTCACAATATCCATTCATAAAAAAATTAGACGTGTTTGGAAAAGAGCGAAACTTATTACTTATATCGTAAAAAATTTAAAAAATATATCCTTTCCGGTAACAATTTCGTTCATTAAATTTTTTTGTTGCTATATAAAAATTACCAAATAAAAAAAATGTGTAAAACTTTTTTAAATAAGTAGGAAATTTTTTTTTTTAGTTAGGATATTCACAAGCTGTCATTACGAACGTATTGCCATAATGTTATAAATTTAAAATCGTTGAAATATATTTTTGTGGTTATTGTGAATCACCTTAAAAATTTTTTAGTTAAAAAAATTATAACATAACATAACATAATATTTGTAACTCATTGTAAAACCGAGTCCATTCACGGAGTATTTTTGTTTTGTAATATATTTCCCTTCAATTTGCAATCCTTTGATGTTTGTTATTAGTGTATTTTAATAAATTTTATAATTACAGCTGTCTGCTTTTAATTTTTTTAACAAAAAAAAAATATATATTTCTAAAGGATTCATAAGGTGCTATGATGTGTTGTATCGTCATAAAGTCATACATTAACGTTAAACATATTTTTAAGTAGTGCACAACTGAAAATTTATTAGTCATTTCCGATAGCTTGTGAATGTCCAAATACTATATGTATTTTTTAACATTTTCGGCATTGTTATAATTTCTCAAAACAATAATTTTTATATCCATAAAAATATATTTTTAGGAACCAATTCCAGTTTTCGATTTCAAGAGAATTTTGAGATTTTAATTTGACTAGCTCTTTTCTGGCTTTCGAAAACCGACTAAAAAAAAATAAAAATATACATTAATTTTTTTCCTCATTGACACTAAAAAGCCGGAAATGATAAAAAAGTAAATAAATTGCAATAATTTAAAAAAAGTTTAAGAAAATAAATTTCTGGATTAATGCCAAAAAAATGTTTTCCAACTTTTAGTAAAACTTATTTTTTTTTAATTAAAAATTACAAGAGAAATTCTGAAAATTTTAGTGATTTACACTAAAAAAGAGTAAAGAACTCCTCGGCCCGTTGATAGCCCAGCATGGCCCGTTTCAAACTCTTCAGGGTTCTACAATTTCGAATGTTTTATATTTTCATGTAAACAATTATTATATACGTTTTTTATTATTTTTTAATTTTAAGTATTATTTTTTTTAATTGCACATTATAAAGTCACAAATTTTAATTTTTATACATACACACATGTGTCAAGGTATGTTTTTTTTATATTTTAATTTAGTTACAATTCAGTGGAAGCAATATAGTTTCCAAATAGTGTATGTATATGTATATAAACAAAAACCACAAATACAGTTAAAGTTACAGTAGTGTGACAAAAAATTGCATATAATAAAGTAAAAATGTGGCAAAAGGGGGCGAAAAGTAAAGCCGTCGGTAGCAAAGGGTGGGATTGGAAATTACATTGGAATGGAGAAAAAAAGAAGAAAAACAAGAAAAATTACACGTCAAATACAACAAGTCAAGTACACGTATAATCAGTTATTAAAGTTGATTATAAAAAAAAATCAAAAAATTATTAATTGCATAATGGGTCGGCAGAAAGTGGTTATAGTAAGTAGTAGTAGAAGTACTAGTAGTGGTACTGGTGGAGATGGTGGTGGTAGTGGTGGTAATAATACGAATAATTAACTATATGTATATATATATGCATATATGTAGGAGTGAACTTAGTTAAAAGAAGCTACGATATAGGCTCTTAATTACTTTAAATCATCGGTATCTTCGATAAGATCGGCATACTCCTCCCAATCGTTGTTCGTTGAACGTGTGCGCAGATTTGATATTGTCGGTATTTCGTCGTCGTCGTCGTCGTCGTCGCCATTGCCATCCATATTGTTGACGGCGGCAACACGATTCTGAGCGGCTGTCGTAGCGCCCGTTGTGCCGCTTACCACTTCGTAGTCCTTTAACTCAGCCTCCAGATCTTTTTCCCATTGTTCTTCTGCGCATGCGCGTGGTATGTGTTTTTTCAACAGTTGTTTTTCGGAAGTATTTTTTGATAGGTTTTTATTTGAGGGGAAAATGAGATAAAATTTTGCGTAAGTGGCAGTTTTCATTGAAATTCATTAAGCACATTATTTTAAAATTGAATACAATTAACTGTTATACGAGTAATATTTTTTTTAAAGGAGTATTGTGGGTACGGGTGTACATTGAAATACATATATTTGTTTATTGTTGTATGCAAGTAATTATTATTTATGTACTTATGTTGCGCAAGTAGATTATAAAAAATATTAAATATATATGTATAAGTTGATTTAATAATAAACTGTTGGCTAAGCGCCTCTAAGCCATTCATATAAATACATATGTAAAAATATATATATGTAGGTATGCATGTATGTACAATAATCATATTTATTAAAATTTAAACTGTTTTGCATTTTTAGTTTATACAGAATGAAGTTGAGCTATTTTGTGTTTGCATATGAAGTGCAATATTGAGTGATATTGCCTTATTAGGGCCGATGAGTTAAGAGTTTTTCATATAGTGTTGAAACGCTTAGATCTGAATACCTTAATGTAGGGCTGGGACTATCCGTATATTCGGATATTCGCTTGGAGACTCGTGTAGACGGATAAAATCCGGATATGCCGTTAATTTTGTTATCCGGATAGCTGCACACTCGAACTTTTTAATCAGATCAGGATTATTGACGAAAATTTAATTGTTTTACTTAAAAGTCATTACTTGGTATGACATTAGTTTCTTGTGTTTTTTTTTACAAATTTTGGTTAAGTTCTACTTTCAAAACCTATCAAATACTTTGAATTTTATAATTCCGAGCCTTCGACATTTTTTTATTTTAGCGGTTTTTTTGCCATATAACCAAGGAAGACAGGGTAAATCTTAGTGCCGCAGCTCTTGAGTTTAGTCAAAGTTGTCCTAACAAATTTTTGTATACAAAACTTCCACTTAAAAATGATCAAAAATATCTATCAATATTACAAAACTAAAAAAAAGCTCACTGTAGGGTTTAGCTAAAACTGAAAGATGGGGTCGGACTATCCAAGTGCGACGGTTGAGATGTTTCCCTCGATTTCCTGATGCCAATTTCGGCATACAAATTTAATTCCTATTTCGAGTAATAATGCTAGTTCAAGGTGGTATTAACCAATTGTTTTTAGCCACGCTTTTTCAAAGATCTGGACACTCGCGGAGAAAGTTTTTAACTGCGTCTTTTGAGTCGAGTTCTTCGCAGCTGCAACATAAACTATTCAACGGTATGCCGTGAAGATAGCCGCGAGTTTGCATGTATTTTACTTGCTCATTCCTAACTGTGCTCTGGTTTTAAGTAGGTCGTAGTTATTCCACATCAGTCTGGTAATCCTAGACGATCCCGTTAGGCTTCACCTCTGCTTAGCTCTCCAGCTAGAATTTTCGCTGCCCTGGAAATCATATCAGGCTCATTTCAAAATGATTAGAAATTGGGGCCAACTCTCTCGTAGAGGCCTTAACAAATTTTTACCTAACCGACGAAGAGGAAAGCGTCTGAATTGCCACCCGGCCATCATGGTCCTGTAGACGAAAGGTCAGCTGCAGATTGAGTTGCCCTTCAAGTACTGGGTTTCTACCAGCAACCCATTGTACAAACAACACCTAACCACAGGCAGAATTTCGTTAGGCGAATAAATTTTTACTTGCGAAAAAAGGCTGATTACTGTTGCAAGTCGCTTTTATTAAATATGAGCTGGGCATACGGCACTTTTTTCTTTCCCAGGTGAGTCCAATACATCGTGAGAGGAGGTACATTGTGTTCTGCGATTCCTTCCCCTTACTTACTATATTTCTAATCGCTTCTGATTTAATATGCTGGTGGGGTTAAAACCAATTTCATATAATTTGGTGTTACATCCTTTTCGGTCATGGAGTGAATAGACAAACTTGGGGTAGAACTCCACAAACAACTTTTCAGGCGTCCACCACATTTCAGTCTTCCAGCACTTTATTCAGCTATTCGTTATATATTGCGGTGCGAGCGCTGAAAGTCATAACTTGGCTTGGCTTGGAGTTTTACTCTTAATGCTCTTGCTGGAGGCAATGTTATCCAACTGCTTTGGATAACAAGCAAACTAGACCTGCGCTATAGCTTGCAATATAAAAGAGCATAATGAATTGAGAAAAGTTCACTGACAATGCATCAGCCGACTTCACAAATCTAAGTCATTGTTGAAAGGTGCAACATGAAGTGATATGCATAAGCTTCTAACAGGATAAACTTAGGATTATTACAAATACCATTATAGGACACTGCAGACCGAGAAGCCAGCTCGATAAGGTATGAATATGCTCTAATGATTTTTCGTGCTTTGCAACTCTGGCAAAGAGACCCCATTACATCAAATCTATTAGCGTGAAAACCATTCCAAGAAAATATGAGGAGAAGCAACGTTCCATCATCACATGCACTTCTATCCGCTAAAGCTCTATTGAGCTATCTAGAGATTTTAGGCTAAGGAGAGAAAGTAAAATGTAGGGGGCTTAGTTAGTATCTATCCTTGACTATCTGTCTACCTAATCTACTATACAAATCAAGAACAGAAGAGGAAAGCGCCCATCAAGGCAATGCTTTCAAAGAAAACACGTTTTTTTGCTCTACTGAAAAATTTCAGTCCCGGAAGAAGATAGGCGGTTTTGCAATTCGTCGATGGGCGGTTTTACAAAAATATCAATCATATGTCCCATATAGAATACTCGGGGAATTGAGTGCTAAGACATCTGACATTTTTTGTCTCAAGTCGCAACAGTTGATGTCAGAAAATGTTTAAATAATATTTAGTTAAGCTTAACAAATTTTTTTACTATACTTTAAAATAGATAAGTTTACGGCCCTTAGCTGTTTGAAAATGTAAATGAATGAAATTCTTTCCTATTTTTTACGATCTGTTAGAAATTAAACTAAGAGAAATATACATTAATAGTAGGTATTCATAAACAAAGCGTTTCAAAACCTACTTAGCGAATGTTTTTTTATGAATGTGAATATTTTATTTAAATGTAAATAGCATCACTAGATTTTCAATACAGAGAAACCTCTAAATAACAAAGTCGACGGGATTGGACAATTTTTTATTATATCTATAGTATAGTTAGTTTATAGAATATTAAAACATCGCTCCAACGAAAAATGCAACCTGCGGAAAAAAGTCGTTACAAGTTTGCTATGTAGAGGCTTTAGGACTCTAACCGTCAATATGTTCTTTGTTATATCTCAGCAAAATTTTTTATTTTATTGAGTTTTTCGTTTTATCAAAGTTTATTATATCGAGGTTTCACTGTAATTGTTTCATATATAAAAGTTCATGAGCGTAATTGGTTTAAGTATGTGTTTAATGTATAGAATTAATATTGATATACATATGTACACATTCATATATATATATACTATATATGTAGATTCATCAAGCGGAAAGCAAGAAAGGAATTTAGATATTTATGTTATCTGCAGCACGTTTTTATAAAGGATGTCTCAAAATGATCTCGTTATACTATATATGTATGTACATGCAGAGAGGATATTTCCTAAAACCCTTAAGTTCTCAAGTTATTCATAAAAAACCTTTTTGGCCCGACAACACCTACAAAACAAGCTTCAACACCTTTAATTTTTCAGCAATTTTAAGTTTATATATATGTAGATATCTTTGGAATGAATAATGGCTTTTGCGAAAATACATACACTAACCAGAATATGTTTCCGTACAGTGTTTTTTTTTGTAAATATTTGCAATATTTTTCGTAATAAATTTTTTTCGTTCAACAGTACCCTGCAAACCATTTTTTCAGAGTATTCTGAATCGTAAAGAATTTTTAAAGAATTCGGAAAGATCCCATCTGATTTTTTGTCGAATTTTCTAAAATGAAATAAATTACGCACACTTCCATTCTTTTACGAAATTTCGGAAGAAAATCGGTAAAGAAATGAAAATAATGCTGCTATGTGAAGAATTTCTTGCAGACTTCTTTCAGAATTTTCTTTATTTTTCGTACAGAAATTTCTTTATGAGTTCGTGTCAACCACTTCATATAATTTTCTTTGAAGATTCGGAAAAAAATCGTTACAGAAATCAGATACTCCTAAAGATTTCGTTAAGATTTAGGGAACTTTGGTTTGCAGGGTAGTTTATAGCCACTTAAAACTTGTACTTTATTACACTAAAATTGAGTGTACTACAAAACTGCATACTCAAAAAAATTCTAAAAAAATTTGTTTAAAAGTTGAAATTTTTGGTGAAAATTTGTCAAATTTTCCTAAATTTTATAAAAACTTTGAATCTTTAATTTATATGCAATTTGATGCACAAGGATCTATATTTCTATTAAAAATTAACGAAAAAAAATTATTACAAAAAACATTGCAAATATTAAAAAAAAAAAACACTGTACGGAAAGATATTCTGGTTGGTGTAGTTGGTGTGTGCAACAAATTTGCAAACAGTCTGAAATTTGTAATTTTTTTTTTACATTTTCCACTCTGGTATTTTTTTTTCTACAATTTTACAAGAAAGCATTTACATTTAAGTAATTTTCTGCAAAGAACATTTTATTCTGAGTAAAACAAGGTGCATATCAGTCTGTGTAATCAATTGCTAAATATTTTGAACTTGGTCTTAAGTGATTTTCTCCTTCAATCGATCAATTCTTATATATTTAGTATGGCTTTACTTTTTAAACGACAAGGAAAATAAAGTTTGGCTTATTTTTTTTTTGTTTAATAAAAAGAAACCACATCAATTTGAGACACCCTATATATGCGTGTACATACATACATACGTATTTATGTATCAGAAGCCAAAAACCCTTAGAGTATTGCACTTTTTTACATGCTTTATCTTACCACACACCAATTGAATTATTTAAGCTAGAATGGAACAGAAAAAACATGCCGCCTACCTTCGAATTCAAATTAAGTTACATAGTATTTTCTAAGGATTTTG